CAAGAATGCTATAAAATTGAGAAAGATTAATTTTATTATGACGTGGTTATTGAATCACCAAGTTAAACTTACAAATATTATTCAAAATAATCGTTACTAATTATAAAGAATAATTTTCCCTAAATTGATAAAAGTTTGTATTAAACTATTAGAGTTGAATAATAAAAGTTATGTGATTAAACCCCACTTTTCACATCAGTGTATACTATATATGAGTAGTACTTGAATAGAGTATGAATTACACAGCAATTGTTTTATAAAATAGGCCGATTCGGCCTAAACATAGCATCGATGTGTTATGTGATTAAACCCCACTTTTCACATCAGTGTATACTATATATGAGTAGTACTTGAATAGAGTATGAATTACACAGCAATTGTTTTATAAAATAGGCCGATTCGGCCTAAACATAGCATCGATGGTCATAAATCATAAGCAGATTTGCAATAAAGATATGAATTATAAAAAGGCATACCTTTGAGCACATCATCGATATTCTCCTTATACTCCATAAACAACGATATTTTCCAACATGTGTTGCAGTTGACAGCATTCACTTCTTTGCAGCCGGGATTGTCCGGCAGGTCATAGCCGCTGGCGTGCAGGGGTTGGCCCGCGTTGACCGGTGTTAACACAACTTTGTCGCCGACCACAACATTATCACCCTTTGAGCGCATTTAGATTTAAACATTAAATTCCCACAAAAAAACAATATGGGTTGAAAATGTAATCATCACTTACAGTAGATCTGAGCTTATAGAATGGCACGATGTAGAACCATGATCCTTCGTTACCATTAGAGTCCAAATACACTCGCATAGAGTTCTTCTCCAATAGAGCCGGTAGTCTCTTATTAACCGTCAAATACTTGTTGCTCTTCAGATGCAACAGTTGTATAACACCTCCGTATTGAATGATACTTCCGATCAGTTTCTTGTTTTCTGTCTCATTTTGTTTCTTCTCCAGCTCTGCCGCGTGCTATACATCACACCAACACATCCCACAACACGTTAGACAATATAATACATTTATTAATTAAATAGTTATTTAAATAAATTACATGTAATTTCTTGAGCAAAAGAGCATCACTTCGATTGGTCTGACTATTGGATTGTTTGGCCGCTTTCCAGAACTGTTTTTGAGCCGAATATCGATTCATTGGACACATCTTGAAGAGACAGTCTTCGGAGGTAAAAAAAATAGTTAATAATTGATCCATTGATAAGCAAATAAACTTAAAAAAGTGAATACCTCTAAACTTCTTGGGCGGATTGGAGGGGTCGCCGGCATTGGGCTGAACCACACACCGGTCGTCCACAAGACTGTATGCGGGGAACAAATAGATAGTGATAATAATTGGCGGATAATAAATGTGATGAGCGGTGAGGTATACCCGAGAGTGGAGAGGAATCCCAACACATTTCCTTCGGCGAAGAGAGAGACCATATCTCCGATGTGTAAAAACGAAGCGCTGTTTTCGCACATCTTTTCTATCGATTGGTTTTTGTTATAAAGTTTTTTTTAAATCACAATTAAAATCACAATTTATTTCATTTGATTACTATATTATAAATTAATTTTTTCATTTAAATTAATCGTCGCTTTCGTTGATATAATTGATTAGAGAAACGATTGAAAGGCAATACTGAAGACACGATTGAATTCATTATGTTTTAAAACACAAACAAAATAAAAAGTATATAAAATTATTTAATTATAAATTCGTCTTTTGATTATAATTTATAAATATATAAAAAAATGTATTAAATATTTGAATAAAATATATAATAAAACAACATTTTATGCGTTAAACACAACATTTGCAACAAAACTGTTGCTGAAATACATAGCGATATATACTGTATATGTTATGCGAGAAAACATTTTACTTTGAAATACACATTCATTTTTGTGGCGATAATTAAAACAAATCAATTTAAATGACAGACATTTAAATGAAATTATGTGACAAAACACACGACTAATGCTATTATTATAATAACTTGAATACAACACAAACACTTGACGTGAAGTTAACAACTGATGGCTATTTTCATAGACTTTTAAACATAGGTTTTTAGTTGTGTTGACTGCGAGAGAGAAACACACAAAATAGTGACACTCTGTTTGAGTCTATGGTTTGTATTTAGCATTAGTTTGAATGAGATATTTAAAGTCAAAGCCAAATGATGTTTCAAATCACACATTCATTTACAGGGAGAGTGAGATATAGAGAGAGACATATCATAGAAAAACACAACAATATATTTATTTACTTTACATTTTCAATGATATATTTTGTTTTAATAGTGAAAATCTAGTTTTACTATACATTTTTCAAGTGGTGGTAGTGTTTTGCTTTGCGCATGAATGCCATCGATGTTCAACATTATGCTCAAAAATCTTAACTTTTATATTGTATTTTAGCATTAGTTTTGTGTAACTTTTTTTCTTCATTGCATTCATTGATTACTTGCAGAGCCATTGAAAATGATTAATAAATATTATTATTAAATTAGGTTTCACTGCTGTGTATAATACTGTTATGCATTGCGACTTCACTTTTACTAATTAAACTATAATTCATTTAATTTTTATTATTATAATTATTATACCATTAATATAATTGAAGTCATTATTAACGATAGCATTAAAGTTAGTCTATTTATAATGGCCTGAGAGTCGATATCTGTATTATTAATATGATATGAAATATAAATAAGTTTCTCTCCCCTCAAACACTTAAATCCTGTTCTCAAGTCTAGGCATTAAAAAACTACTATTAATTTGATAGAAAAAACCGTTTAATTTCACTTTTCATTGACAAACTTGTGGTATAAAATGTATTGAATTTGTAAATTATATTTTTCTCATTGCAAACGAGTAGTCCTGTCCTGTAGTGGTAATAAAGCCTTAACATTGGATTCGCGCATAAAATGAGCAAAAATTATTATTATTAATAATTATTGTAAATAATTTCCTCGTTTGCAAAGAGCTCTCAATTTTTTAGACATTTTTTGAGCTGACGTTTTGCAATGTGTTGTTACAAATGGTTAGACACTCTCTTCTCCTATGTTTTGGCATTTCTTTTGAACACAAAAAGCAAATTACATTTGTTTGAATCGCAAGAATAATAAACAGACACTAAATTGAATACTTTTTATGTCTGATTATGAAATATAAACTAAATTTTTGTGTTGTTATTATGGCATTTCTTTTGAACACAAAAAAATTACATTCGTTTGAATCGCAAGAATAATAAACAGACACTAAATTGAATACTTTTTATGTCTGATTATGAAATATAAACTAAATTTTTGTGTTGTTATTAGAGTAAAGAGTATTAAGTGTCATAAAATGTTTGGCAATATTATCTTAAATACCAAATATTAGTCTAATATTGAGTGTTAACATTGAAATGTGTCTCTCGTTTTTTGATTGACATTCAGAGGGTTTTTTGTTTTTAAAGTCTAGTTTAATGTTATGTTAATGAAATTTTAGCACTTATTTTAGGCAACAGTTTATTTATTTTAACTTTTGATTAAACGAAATGTTTATTTAACATTATTAAATGTTATTCGTTATTGATATAGACTTTGATGTTATTTAATTATAATATAGTTTGCAAAACAATAATATATTCACTAACAGTGTATTAAATGATAGTGTATTGAGATTACAACAAGTATTTTATCAAAACTAATACAATGTTA